AGAACTTTTAAAGAAAAGGCTTATTGGGATGCCTGGGTGGCTCAGTCGGTTAAGCCACTGCTTTCAGCTCAAGCCATGATCCGAGGGTCCTGGGATTGAGCTTGATGGGCTCTGTGCTTGGCAGGGAGCCTGCTTCCCACCCCCACCCTTCTCTGCTTGCCTCTCTGCCTACTTGTGATCTCTCTCTCTCTGTATCAAATGAACAAAATCTTTTAAAAAAAGAGAGTAAGGTTATGTGAATGCTAAAACTACTATACTGACAAATTCGTTGAGGTATATAAAAACACTGGATGTATTAAAAAAAGATGTTGTACAGAATCTATTACTTCCTTAAAAGAACATCCAATCTGTGTACAAAGCCCTAAGTAGGGGCACCTGGGTAGCTCAGTCGTTAAGTGTCTGCCTTCTGCTCAGGTCATGATTCCTGGGGCCTGGAATCGACACCTCTATCCAGCCTCCTGCTTGACAGCAGCCTGTCTCTCCCTCTTCCACTCCCCCTATTTGTGTTCCCTCTCTTGCCATCTTTCACTCTCTGGCAAATAAATAAATAAATAAAATCTTAAACAAACAAACAAACAAACAAACAACAAAGCCCAAAGTAAAAACATACACTTGTTCAATAAAAAAAACAAAAACAAGAGTCACACTTGGTAACCCCTTCTCTCCCACAGCACCAAGTAATAGAAAACTACACATTTTTAAGCCCACTGTTATTTTCAAGAAGATAGAAAAATACAAATAATGTCAATAGTACAGGGCATTTGAAAAACTTAATGCCAAGAAAAGGCATCAGTGTATTGAAACTAATTTTAAAATTCTCTGATACCATTTTCTTAAAGAAATAAAATGGCTCTGTAATAAGCAACATCTTTTAAAATCTAGTTTGTCGGGGCCCCTGAGTGGCTCCGTGGGTTAAAGCCTCTGCCTTCCGCTCATGTCATGATCCCAGGGTCCTGGGATCGAGCCCTGCATCAGGCTCTCTGCTCAGCAGGGAGCCTGCTTCCCTTCCTCTCTCTCTGCCTGCCTCTCTGCCTACTTGTGATCTCTGTCAAATAAATAAATTAAATAAATAAATAAATAAAATCTAGTTCATCATTTTCCCAAGTTACAGAACATTCTAGGGAAACAATTTCAAGTAAGTAAGTAAGTAAATAAATAAATAAATAAATAGATAGATAGATAAACTAATGTCCTTAGTAGCAACCCCCTATGGAAATCAGCACCTTGGCCAGCCACATCTTTGGAAAGTTACTGAGCTGTGAAATACACCAATTCAGCAAAAAGGGATACTCTGTGAAACAATCACCACTCCAGCTCTAGGTTAAATTGTTAACAACACAGAACTAAACCAAGTGACCTTAAACATACATAAGTTGTCAAAATGCTCACTTAAAATTTTGTGCTTCCTGCAGCAAAAGGATATACAGCACCTTTCTTCCTCTCCCCTCAAAAGCCAGCATGTTAAAAAGCAGAACAGATTAAACATTCGAGAAAATGCCTTCTGAGCCCAAAGATTTTAGAAAATGCCTTCAAGGAATATAGTGAATCATAACTTGCTTATCACATTTACCCATAAAGCAGTTATTCAAAGGTTAATAACTTCTTATTTGCTTACAGTCATTATAAACTAATCAAGAGCACTAATCACTTAACGTCTACAGGTAGAATCAATAAAAATGATTCAAACTATGTGAGGACAGGAAGAAACCCTAAAAAGTCATGAAAAACAACCTCTTAAATAGCCTCTGTTCATTTCTTTCAAGAGGTAATTCAGCTCATACTTAAAAGCCTTCTTAAAAAATAACATCTTAAACAGTGCACTTAGCAAAGCATCATTCAATGGGATGCTGGGACAACTGACTGGTTATTTGGAAAATAAGACCTATCTAGATCCTCACCTTACACCAAATACTAACATTAATTATAGATTACAAAGTAAAATAAAAAATTAAAGAGTAGCATAAAAATGATAGAAATTTAATTTTTGAGGGCTCTCTAAGCATAAAGTAATGGAAATAACTAGAGAATAAAATTAAGTGACTACATAAAAATATAAATCTATTTAAAAAATCAAAAGAGGGGCACCTGGGTGGCTCAGTCAGTTAAGTGTCTGCCTTCAGCTCAGATCACAATCCCAGGGACCTGGGATCAAGCCCCACATCGGTCTCCCTGCTCAGCAGTAAGTCTGCTTCTCCCTCTCCCATTCCCTGTGCTTGTATTCCCTCTCTCTCTGTGTCAAATAAATAAATAAAATCTTCTTTAAATAAATAAGTAAAATAAAATAAATTTAAGAATAAAAAGGAGGGTGCCTGGGTGGCTCAGCCGGTTGACGACTGACTCTTGGTTTTGGATCAGGTCATGATCGTGATCTCGTGGTGGTGGGATCAAGCCCCACTTGGGGCTCACACTCAGTGTGGAGTCTGCTTTGGATTCATTCTCCCTCCTCCGCTGCCCCTCCCCCCTCGTACTCTCTCTCTACCCTAAATAAATAAAATCTTTTAAAAATAATAATAAATAGGGGTGCCTGGGTGGCTCAGTGGGTTAAGCCTCTGCCTTCAGCTCAGGTCATGATCTCTGGGTCCTGGGATCGAGCCCCGCATCAGGCTCTGTGCTCAGCAGGGAGCCTGCTTCCTCCTCTCTTACTGCCTCTCTGCCTACTTATGATCTCTGTCTGTTAAATGAATTAAATAAAAAAATTTTTAAAATAATAATAAATAAAAATTAAAAAAAATAAAAAGGTAAAACAGGACTACACCTATTGTGGTGAGTGAGCATGGTGTAATGCATAGGTTAGCCAAATTACTATGCTGTATTCCTTAAAATAATAACATTGTATGTCAACTATACTTCAATTTAAGAAAATAGGGTAAGGATGCCTGGGTGGCTCAGTAGGTTAAGCATCTGCCTTCAAGAGAGGAAAAAAAAAAAGCCTCTGCCTTGGCCTCAGGTCATGATCCCAGGGTCCTGGATTGAGCCCCAAGTCAGCTCAGCAGTGCCAAGCCAGCTTGGTCATATCACTGTCCTTGGGGATCCCTGCTCCCTCTACCCCTCCCCCAATGTGTGCTCTCTTTGGCTCTCTCTCTCCCTCTCAAACAAATAAAATCTTTTTTAAAAAAAGGTAAAAGAAGGGTGCCTGGGTGGCTCAGTATGTTAAGCCTCTGCCTTTGACTTGGGTCATGATTTCAGGGCCCTGGGATCAATCCCTGCATCAGACTCTCTGCTTAGTGGGGAGCCTGCTTCCCCCCTCTCTGCCTGCCTATGCCTGCTTGTGATCTCTCTCTCTGTGTCAAATAAATAAATAAAATCTTAAAAAAAAAAAAAAGTAAAAGAGGGTAAACAAATTAAAGAAAAATTTTCAATAAATAAATAGATTATAAATATATATATACCCTTAATATATTAGGAAGTTCATACAAATTGATTTTTAAAATACATAAACATTCCAGGGCCATCTGGGTGGCTCAGTCGGTTAAGCATCTGCCTTGGGCTCAGGTCATGATCCTGGAGTCCTGGGATCCAGCCCCATCAGGCTGCCTGCTAGCGGGAGCCTGTTTCTCCCTCTCCCTCTGTCTGCCCCTCCCCCTGCTTCGCGTGCTCTCCTTCTCTCTCTGTCAAATAAATAAAATCTTAAAAGAAAAACTTCAATAAAGAGTAATTACAAGTACACCAAGAACAAAGGACACACACATTCCAAAAAATCTTAGTCTAAAGAAAAATTAAATAGCTACTAAAGGAGATGCTCCCTCAAAATAATGCAAATGTAAAGAAACGCCATGTTAAAACACTACTTTTGGTCTATCAAATTAACAAAGGTGTATATATCCAATGCTGAAATACCAATACTGGCAAGCATATGGGTCACAAGCAATTAGTGCTGTTAGTGGTGTAAACAAGCACACCTTTTCAGGAAATATTTCAGCAAGGTGTTTCAAGGGTCTTAAATATGTTTTGGTTTTTGATCTAATAAATCTATTTCTGAGAATCTATTCTAAAAATATAATCTAAATGCAGTAAAAAAATTATACACAAAAAGTTCACAAAGTCTTATCTACGATGAAAAACTAGAAACACAACAAATGTCCAACCAACAATAGAAACACCACACATTTACTTCAGAAACATTAAATGGTCTGTCCAAAAAATAGAATACAAATAAAAATAACATTTAAGAAGAATTTTAAATGATATAAGAAAATGCTTATGGGGGCGCCTGGGTGGCTCAGTGGGTTAAAGCCTCTGCCTTCGGCTCAGGTCATGATCCCAGGGTCCTAGGATGGAGCCCGCATCAGGCTCTCTGCTCAGCGGGGAGCCTGCTTCCTCCTCTCTCACTGCCTGCCTCTCTGCCTACTTGTGATCTCTGTCTGTCAGATAAATAAATGAAAAAAAAAAAAAAAAGAAAATGCTTATGTTACAAAATCAAATGAGAAATAACGGGTGGCCTACAAGGAGAACTGGCTTGCTGACAGGTCTATGAATGTATTATCAATTAAAAAAAAATTTTTTTAAGATTTTATTTTTAACTAATCTCTACACCCTATGTGGGGCTTGAACTCACAACCATAAGATCAAGAGTCACACGCTGCACCAACTGAGCCCTCCAGGCACCGTCCAAAATTTTTTTTTAAAGATTTTATTTATTTATCTGACAGAGATCACAAGTAGGCAGAGAGGCAGGCAGAGAGGGAGGAGGAAGCAGGCTCCCTGCTGAGCAGAGAGCCAGATTCGATCTCAGGATGCTGGGACCATGACCTGAGCCAAAGGCAGAGGCCTTAACTCACTGAGCCATTCAGGCGCCCCTTCAAATTTTTTTATTAGAAACACATTAAAAAAAAAAAAAAAAAAGACCAGGAGAAAGTGTGCTACAATGGATTGTCTCTGAAAGGAATAAACAGTGAGGGTTTTTTCTACTTCTTTTTACTTAATTGTGCTTCCCAAATAGTCTAAAATAAACTCACATCATTTTTATAATCAAAAACTTCCAATGAGAAAATACTACCTACCTTTTGAAGTACTGCATTTTTTTTTTTTAGGTACATCTGGCTTTTAGAAAGTTCTTCTGTACTACATGATCAGCTGTTTGTAGCTGCCACACACATGATCTATCTAGCCACACAGAACATCAACCTGTCTACCCTCCTCCAAGCTAAGAAGCCCCTGTTCCTTTCATAAAAGTGTCTCATTAAAGTGTCTGCTGATTGAGCACTAACTAGATAGAGACATTTTTGCATTTATTTTTCTCTTTCAACCCCACAATCCACTACTCCATTTTAGAGGTTAACCATCTGGCCCAAGTTCATTCGGACCATAAGTAGCCCTTCAATGTTACTCCGGCCCTCACCTCTGGAAAAGTACCTTCCGGCAGACCTACTACCTTCTCTCCCTGCCCCACACCCCCACCGGGGTGGGGGTGGGGGGGACCCAAACCATTGCGGGAGGACGGAGGACGTTACACTTGGAACTAGATCTATGGATCCTGAGACAACCTTAAAGCTGCAGCTACGGATAATCTTAAGTGACAGCATGAGATAGGCAGCAAAGGATGGGAGAGGTGAGAGCATACTGTGTTTCCAGGATACGATTATCCCGAACCCCACGTTTCAAACTCTCTCCAGCGGAACTTGGAAACCTCACTTATTTTTGTGTTGTGCATTTGATAAGAGGGTAGGAGGTTTTTAGAAACATTCTAGGTTTTGAGTTAGAGCGTTAAAGGGAAACCGTTTCATTTCAGTCCAAAGCCAATCATCCACCAATAGGTAGATAGCAGTAAATTTGCTTGAGAAATGATGGGTTTTTTTTTGTTGGTGGTGGTGGGTTTTTGTTTTGTTTTTGTTTTTTTGGAAACGCGAATTTAACAGCGCCAGGATCTTACAAGAACAGAAGACGTTAGATAGAACTCACTCCATTTCAGTGAATTAAAATGATCCGTTCAGCCACACCCATGCCCAGAGTCTGGACAGAACAGACGCTCAGAAGGTGTTGCTAACTTGCTCAATGAATGGGATGCCCCCATTCCAGTGGCAACTCTGCCCGCTATCAATGGAACTCGGGTCCCCTCACTTTTAACCAGGAAAACCAAGGAGGCCCAGGCAGCGCGACACAGCCCCCAGGACATCTCACCCAGTCCAGGCCTCCCTTCCAGTCTCTGCCAAAAGGCTCCAAGCTCCTCCCCACTCTAGTAGCTCCCCCACGCCATCCCATAGCCCTGAACCCTCAGTGACGACGACGAAGCGGCTTTTTCCGCACCACGTCCGCACCCCACTGCGGAAAAACGGTCCGCACCCTAGGGACACTCCCCACTTTTCTAAATATAACCCTCTCGGCACCCGCCCCCAAGGCGGCGGCTGCACCGGCGGTACCTGAGCCGCAGGCCAAGCAGCCAAAGATGATCAGGAGCAGCCGCACTACCCCGCCGCCCTCACGGCCCCCAGCCCTCCAGCCCCAGGGCCCGGCACCAACTGCCGGGGAGACCGCCACTTTCATTCCTCCCGCCGTGGTCGCCTCACGCCGCCTCCTCTTCACGTGCCTCTCCCCGGCAACTAACCGGAACAGGCAGGGCCAGCAGCCTATCCACCGCAAGACCTGCCCCCTACCCGCCAATCGGATGGGTGGAGCTTCGAACCCTCCGTCCTTTACGAACTCTATAATCCCGCCTCTTAGCAACTGCTGCGAGAGGGCGGGAAAAGCGGCTTCCAGCCTATTAGAGAACAAACCCTCCACCTTAGCAATGGCGACAGGAAGGTCCCACCCCTTAACAACATGCTTCCGTATCCAGTTTATTTACAACTGGTGAGATTGATGGAAAGCTTAGCCAATAGAAAATGAAAACGGGCGAGGCCCCCTTGACCAAATTTGATATTTCCATCGAAACTGAAGTTTCTTCTGTTCTCTTTCCTTTTTAACCACGATCTGCTTGTTATGGGAGACTTACCCTTGAGACCTCTTTATAAGTAGGAGTCCCTGACGGGACAATATTTTAAAGACTACCTGTCCTCCAAAGTCCTATATGATTTAAAACAAGTCACACAGAAAAAAATGTGTCAGTGTTTTATGGGAAAAAAATTAGCATTTAAAAATGTAGGACTAGGGCGGTGCCTGGCTGATTCCGCCCCTTTTGATCTCGGGGTCGTGAGTTCGAGCCCCACATTGGGTGTACTGATTACTAAAAAAATATATATATAATTTTTTAAAATAAAATTAAAATGTAGGTATAAGGTTTTGGGGGTAATGTTTTTTAAATCTCTACAGTCCACGTGGGGCTTGAACTCCACCCTGAGATCAAGAGTGGCATGCTCTTTAGACTGATTCAGCCAGGTACCCGTAAGATGGGAGGATTGGAAGTGAAATGAATGTGAGAATTAGGAGAAAAATTTTTATTCCTTGCAGCAAGATGCGAAACAAATATCTCCATTTAAGAAGCCAAGGCTAGGACACAGAACCTGCCCAAGATTGCATAGTTAATTGGTCTGGGCTAAGGTTTGAACCCAAGTCTTACCCAAAAGCCCGAGTTCTTTCTATGCATCAGGCTGCTTCCCGTTAAATGATTTAACACAATGAGGGCCTAGAAGAATATCTAGCACATAAACAGATATTCAGTTAATGTTGGTAAAAATTGAAGCATCTTACTTTTTTAGAGGATCTGATAGTGGTGGGTGGGAGCACTAGAGATCGTGGAGCCCAGTGAGCTGAGAGGAAGTTCTGGGAAGGAGGTTACTGCTGGGGAAGTTTCAAGCTTTCAAAACAAAGTATTAAGAGTCAAAATGGGTCTGAGCTATGCGCAGGAGAAGAAATTTCATCCTCAAAAAGAAAAGTCTAGGTTACCCCTGCTGCAGTAGTCATCGTGTGTCTCTCACGCACATTGCACATTCCCCCGGCTGACCTGGAGAGGTCAGTATCAACAGCACTAAATCACATTGATACTATGTACTCCTGATGTCATGCAATGAAAATGGCATTTAATGTCTGTGGTTTTCCTCCCCCAAACCCATAAAACTAACCTAATCATGAGAAAAAAATTAAATAAATTCCAATAGAGGGTCAAACTACAAAATACCTGACAAGTACTCCTCAAAACTATCAAGGTCATCAAAAACAAGGAAAGACTGAGAACTTGTAACAGCCAGTTATTTCTGGATAGAAAAAAATATTAGGTAAAACTCAGAAAATCTGAATAAACTGTAGACTTTTCATTAATAATAACATAAGAATACTGGTCCATTAATGTTGGCAAATGCACCACACTGGTAAAAGGCAACAATAGTAAAACTGGATATAGGGTATAGGGGAACTCTCTATATTATCTTCTCAATTTTTCTGTAAATTCAAAGGTTCTTTTTTAAAAGATTTTATTTACTTGACACAGAAAGAGAGATCACAAGGAGGCAGAGAGGCAGGCAGAGGGGGAAGGGGAAGCAGGTTCCCTGCTGAGCAGAGAGCCCTATGCCGGGCTCCATCCCAGGACCCTGAGATCGTGACCTGAGCGGAAGGCAGAGACTTAACCCACTGAGCTACCTAGGTGCCCCATGTAAATCCAAAAGTTTTAAAAAACAAACATGTAGGGCGCCTGGGTGGCTCAGTGAGTTAAGCTGCTGCCTTCAGCTCAGGTCATGATCTCAGGGTCCTGGAATCGAGTCCCACATCGGGCTCTCTGCTCAGCGGGGAGCCTGCTTCCCTTCCTCTCTCTCTGCCTGCCTCTCTGTCTACTTGTGATCTCTGTCTGTCAAATAAACAAATAAAATCTTTAAAAAAAAAAACATGTATTCACACACATGCGCGTGCGTGCGCATGCACACACACACACACACACACACACATATTTTCTACTAGGCCCCAAATTGTCACCATTCAGAGCTTACTCTTTGGTTTTGAATAAAGGCCAGAGAACAGAGGAACTAATTCCAGATTTGGGAACTAATTCCAGAAGATCACTGACTATTGACTTTTGACATGTGCAAAGGAGATATACAGTAATGAGACTGTATTGCCCATAAAAACATTCCACCTTACCATCCAAAAAAGTTCTGACACTTCAAGGTAGTCACGAAAGAAGCTTTTAGCTTTATTTTACCATGAGGACACTGCTCAAAACACTTTTAAGAATCTGCTTCTGGGGGTGCCAGTCTGGATCAGTAGAGCATGCGACTCTTGATCTTGGGGTTGTAAATTTGAGCCCCGCATTGGATGCAAAGATTACTTAAAAATAAAATCTTAAGGGACACTTGCATGATTCAGATGGTTAAACATCTCTCCTAGCTCAGGTCATGATCTCAGGGTCCTAGGATAGAGCCCCCCAAATCCATGGGGAGTCTGCTTCTCCCTCTCTCCCTGCCTCTCCCTCTGCTTGTGCTCTCTCTGTCTGTCTCTCTCTCGAACGAATAAATACAATCTTTAAAAATAAATAAAATAAATAAAATCTTTCCAAAGGAGCCATTTTCAGAGTCTATAGCACAAAATGCAATGAATATTCACTATCTGCAGGTGGATCTGATGTATGCAAATAGCCAAAAACTCAGGCCAAGACTGTTGAGTAAATGGGGTGGAAAATCTGGATAGTAAATGTGTTTTAGAATATTTTTGGATTTTAGAAAGGTAATACGGTGCATAGACAACATATAGGACAACAATCCCAGTGGGGCCTAGGACAGCACCCTGTGATCAAACAAATTAATTTTTCTGCATTGAGACATAATTATTCACACTGGGATAAACAAAAGTGGGATAAATGAAACTATAAACAACTTGATATAAATTTCGGAGGTGTGCCACAAGTAAGTTCGGGTCAGATTAGGTTGTGGTGTCAAATGAGTTAAGAAAAAGTTTTCGTTTTCATAATTATTTTTTTTTAATCTAGGAGGATTACAGACAATAAAAATTTGATGAAGACCCTCCATTCCAACTCTTCAGTCGCCCAAGCTAGAATCCCAGCTACTTGGGCTATTTGCATACATCTTACCACCTTTCACTTGAACCACTTTAATTTTCTCCAAGCTGGTTTCCCTGTGGTTTTTGCAACCATAAAACCCTTCATCCACACTACTCTTCAATGCAGATCTGCCTGTGTCACTCCCATATTACAAAGTCCTTATGATTCCCTAGTATCTCGAGTGATGAAGCCCGGGGTCTTGACTATGATCTAAAACATAGATGTAAAGAAACTAACTACAATTGAGCTGTTCAAAGTTTGTTACCAATCTGCAATGAAAGTATTTCAGAAATTAAGTGTAAGCATTTAGAAACTCTTCTTGCAGTTTGACAGAGAATTTTTGTATTTGTTGAATCTAATAAAAATATGGACTTTGTTTTACTTTTCTAACAATTCACGTTTAGTGTATTTTACAGAAGTAGGGAACAATAGATTAGAATTTTTAAAAGATTTTATTTATTT